GCAGCGCTGTCAACTGCGCCCTTCAAATTCCACCTTTTTCTGCGAATTTCGCCATTTTCATTGTTGAATGAATAATTATTCAATTATTAAATGATTATTTTTCATTATTTGTGTTTTCAAAAGAAAAAAATTGCGAAAAGAAGCACAGAGTTCGTTTTTCGGAAAAAGCCACTTGACACCAATTCCGAAATTTTCAAAAACCACATTGAATCTGCCTCGAATACTTGCATTTATTTTTGCCACTTTTGTTTATTTTCATTTGTATTTATTTGCATTTATTCAGATTTGCATTTATATTCGCATTTACTTTTATATTCACATTCAAATTTAAAATCACATTTCCACAACAGTCTTGCGTGCGCATGCACCAGCAAACAAAAAAAATAGCATTTCTGTCCTTGTACACTTTCAGAGACTTGCAATTTACTTGCGTTAAATTATTTTTTTAATAAATGCTTATATAACATCGTTCTTTTCTGTTCCCACTTGTATGCATGCATGCATGCAACTGCATGCACTGCATGCATGCGTGCATGCATGCAATGGAAGTTGGCTCACGGGGGGGCTCAATGGAGACCGCGAGGGGCCCTTTGAGCCAAATTTCGCGCTGCATCTGAGCAGCAGAAGAGGCCCCGAAGGGGCCCCCAACATAATACCATTTGGAAACTTTTATTTTTTTTTCACAAGACTTCGGAAGCCCCAAGTGCGGGGGGGGCCCCCCACAGCCATACACTGCAGCGCCCAGCTGGCCACCCAGGTCGTGGCACTGCTGCAGCAGCAGCGGCAGCTGGGGGGCCCCCCGCTGCGTCGCAGTCAAACCAAGTCTTTCTTTTATTCTTTTTTCTTTTATTCTTTGGTTCTTTTATTTTTTTTGTTCTTTTGTTGTTTTGTTTTCAGAAAGTGAAAGGGAGAAGGGGGTGCAAGGGAAAGGCGAAAACCGCAACTGGTGAGGCCGCCTGGAAGGCTAGGGTTTAGGGTTTAGGGTTTAGGGTTTCGGGCGAGGGTTTAGGGTTTAGGGTTTGGGGTGTAGAGAGGGGGGGCGGGTGGTGAGGGGTCTAGGGTTTAGAGGTGAGAGTTGGGGTTTAGAGGCAAGGGTTTAGGGTTTAGCGTTTACAGTCGAGGGTCTACGGTTTAGAGACAAGGGCTGCAACGGTTTAGAGTTTAGGGTTTGGAGGCAAGGGCTGCGGTTTAATGGCGAGGGTTTAGGGTTCAGGGTTTAGGGTTTAGGGTTTGGAGGCGAATGGGAAACT